CCTCATGACCACCTGAAGTTCCATCAGTGTAATTTCTTTTGCCTCTTTAAGAGCCTCTGTCGGTGCCCTGACCAATTCCAGCTTCTCTGCAGGTAACCTAGAAACACAACAAACTGTGTCCAGTTCAATGCCCAGGTATGTTACAACTTTGAGTGGGACCTTCTGTTTTTTCAGTGTTGAGGGGGGAACCCCAAGGCACTCAGCTAGATTCGGAAGCATGTACTCACCATTGTCTGTCCCAAGTTTTCCTGCAAATAATAAGTCATTGAGATATTGCACTACATGATCCAGGCCAATCTTGTATACAATCACCCACTCCAACAGTTAGATGACTCTTTTGTCAGCAGCACATGACGCTGTGCACCCCATGGGCATGGCTTTATCAAAATAGTAGTAGTCACCTTCAAACTGCAACCCAAGCAAATTACAGTCTCTGAGATGCACTGGAAGCAACCTGAATGCAGACTTGATGTCGCATTTAGCTAACATCACCCCAAGGCCACATACCTTGACTGTGGCTTCCGCTGTATAAGATGAGAAGTATCTCATCCAACACAGTGGGGGTCTATATAGTAATTTACCAATAAGTCCCAAGGGTAGGACAAGTAGTGAATAAACCTGTATTCCCCCTTCACCTTCTTCAGTACCACACCTCGGGGAGATATGCACAATTCCAGCAAAAGAAGGGACCTGCCACTCTTCCCGTAGTACTCTTTGCCCTTACGATACACTCAAAGCCTTTAATGGACTTCAAGTTCTCTGCCCTGCAGTGGCACCTCACTCCACATGGGATTTGAAAACCAGACAAAAAATCCATTTCATAAATAAGTAGCATCTTTTTTGTTGGGGTAGTTCAATAACAAATTCCATAACCCCCCCATCTCTTAATTGGAGAAGGAGCCTTTCCCATGGTTACTGCCAGCCAAAAGAAGTTCCACGTGGCCCCTGGGAGCTAGGTAATGCTAGCCATTCCACACTCCTCCCCCCAACCTGCCCAATGGGTGCCAGAGACTTCAAGGGGGTGTAGAGGAGCTATCTGCTGTCCCACAGCAAGTGTCTCCTTCCCTCACTACTGAGGCTGTCCCCCTTTCACCGCCAGCCCCATTGAGTTCCGCCACCCATTGAGGCAGGCGAGTGGCATTTAGGTTGCCACCAATTCCCTACTCAGGGGGAATTCTCCAGTCCGAATCTCTGGCTAGTTTAAGTTCACTTTGTGAACTGGAGAATCCAGTCCAGTGGTTTTGTGTGATCCCTTGTGAAGCTTGCAAGTCTTGCTCTTTCATTAGGAAAATGTTTGTGGGTTTTTTTGCTTGGGTTTGTTGGGTTGTTGTTGTTGTTGTTGTTGTTTTTATTAAACTCATTGGTTTTGACAAGTTTCACTAGTTTGGGAAAAATCTTTGACTGAATTCTCTTTGTTGCCTTTGGAAGACATTAAGAAGCTAGTTATTTAGATGAAGTCTCCAGTTATGTACCTATCGATCTGCAGATACAAAATGGAGGCTGCACTGAGACCTCTTTCAAATTCAGGAACTTAATTTGTACTCGTACAGGTTTGTTTTTTTCCAATCATCACTTGATAAGAATGGGAGCACAGAAAGAAGTACCATAAGTGTTGGTGTATATCAAGTAATTAATTACACATGTTAATTAATTAAGAGGCACAGAGTGGGCTTGATAATCACAGCAGGAAGGCAAAGACAGAAACAATCAAACATAAGATTGACAGCTCACTAAAAAAGCACTCAGCACAAATGTACAAAAGAAATTAGACATTTCTCCTTGCCTCCTTTATTAATTTTCAGGTTTGTCTAACCTGTAAGTTAGTGTGATGGAGAAAAATCCACTGAATCTCAGGCTGTCCCTTATTTTTACATCCTCACGGATGTCTGCCCACACATGATCCATGTCAGACTCCAAACTGAGAGAAAACAAGCTTCTTAGAGGCTGTGAGCTTTGCTCTTTTTATAAACCCTGTTACTGTCAAGTAAGTGGTAGACTGTGCCCGTCTCCTACTCAGCCGAGCAGGGAAACAAGGTGTATAAGCCCCCTCTCCAGCATATATAAGAACATAAGGAAGGCCGTACCAGGTCAGACCAAAGGTCCATCTAGCCCAGTATCCTGTCTACCGACAGTGGCCAATGCCAGGTGCCCTAGAGGGAGTGAACCTAACAGGCAATGATCAAGTGATCTCTCTCCTGCCATCCATCTCCACCCTCTGACAGACAGAGGCTAGGGACACCATTCCTTACCCGTCCTGGCTAATAGCCATTAATGGACTTAACCACCATGAATTTATCCAGTTCTCTTTTAAACTCTGTTATAGTCCTAGCCTTCACAACCTCTTCAGGTAAGGAGTTCCACAACTTGACTGTGCGCTGCTTGAAGAAGAGCTTCCTTTTATTTGTTTTAAACCTGCTGCCTACAATCCTGCTCAGCCAAGACAGACATACCCTGATCTTGGGTCTGGTGCAGAACCAGCCCATATGTCTTGAATACTTCCTTCTTTGAGCAAAGGGGTGGAGAGGGGACATTCCTGTGGCTTCACCCCCTTGCTGGCCAGAGTACATGTCCAGGCATGTGCAGAGAGGAGAGGGAAGGAATGTAAACTACACCCTTTCAAAGGCTGCTGTAATTGACCCCATTTCCCCTCTTGCTCCTCAGTCCCCTCCCCCTTTCAGAACAAGCAGGGGAGCAGGGTTCGATTGTGCCGAGGGATGTCTATGAGGTACAATACCCCCAGTGCTAGTCAGTCCTGGGGTAGAGCAGTTTATGTATCAGCACCTGCTCAGGGCTGTGCCTAAAGCATCATCTATCCCTAACTAATCACAAGAAGATTTCAGAGAAACAGGAAAGTTTGCCTGAAATGCGTTACTGGTGGCTAAGCCATAGCACCCCAACACTTATCTCAAACAAGAAACCTCATCTGATCTTCTAAAATAACAAACTTCTCAATGTTTAATCAACAGCTGAAGCATGACGATATCTAGAAACTAATAAGCTCTTCTCTTATTTACACTAGAGTATTTAATTTTTAACACTCCAGCATGGTTAGGCATCATTTCAGTTATTATTCATTAAGATGCTAGAGTATTGGAAGCATACCAGACCACATCGCAAGATAGCAAAACTACAGCAGTTTCTTCAATCAATTGTTAATTGTGAGATGCATATAAAACTGTCCTGTGAATTGGTTACATTAGAACATCAGTAAGGTTATTCCCTCATCTATGGATCATATAGATTTTCCAGGGTTCTTTTAAAGCACTCTCTGATCAGATTCTTGTGAGTGGTGATGCATAGCTGGCATTTCGGTATGGGGTTAACAGACGCTTTGCACAATTCTTCAATTTCGAAAGGGGAACTTTCATTTAAATTCTAAGTTAAATGGCAGGCTGTGACCCTTATTTTCCCAAGTAAAGGCATCATTCTGCTACCCACACACTCAAACAATGGGTATTAATTATTATTATTATCATAGGGTATTAGTCAATGTGCGTAAATCTTATAGTAGTATCTTTAATGGGTACTACAATCCAGAGGGATTATTTTCTTTAATTATATTATTTACTTTGGCAAAGTCCCATTGAGCCAAATTCTGTTCTCAGATTTATCTACGTTAATCTGGAATGATTTCATGGACTTGACTGAGCAAAATTTTACTGTGGTCCTCCTTGGGAATTATCTGAGGAAAGGTTTAGGTCCTCAGGATTTGGCACAAAGCTACTACTATAGTAATAAAGTGTACTTACACAGTGCTGTTCATCAGGGTATTCAAAGTGCATCATCTAGGTATCCCTTGCTTTTGAGATGTTGCTGTTGCCAGCTTCACTTTACCGTAATTGCAGCAATCAGCAAGGTTGTCCTTTACATCATTGTTCCAGTTCTGTTCAGACATTCAATGGAGGGTTATGCAGGTGCAGCAATTACACCCTGTTCTGTATATGCATCCCACTACGTATAGAGAAGCCTATAAAAACACATGCTGATGGGTTGTTCCTTATAATACTAAGTACTCTAATTATGAATACTGGAAAGTAGGATATCCTGTACACGTTGTCATTAGCCATCAGATACACTACAAGCTATATAAACATTCTTGGTTGTTAAATATGAATAGTAATTATGTGAACAAAATCACGGTCTTTGTTTCCATGCCAAGAAGTATTAGGCTGCATTTTTAGGCATGCAGGAGAACAATCTGGATCCAGCTTGTAGGGCCAAAGCCTATAGTTCTTACTCAGTTATTACTCAGGAAAACCTCCCATTGACTTTAGTAGGAATTTGCCTAAATAAGGACTGAATAGAATACTGGGAAATATCCAGTCTTCCCAGTACTGCTTGATGTTAATGTTGGGCAGTGATAAATATTGTACAGGAGTTCCTGTTGATGCCTACCTGTTGTCCTTTTGTTGGCTCTGAATCCACTTCTGCTGAGTGTTAATCATGGTTTATGTTGCTTGTTCAGGTTTATTCGCTTTTGTGTTTTCCATTTTCAGCAAAAATTTTACAGCTATTTTCCTGCTGCTGTTGGATGTGCACAGTACATGGAATGCAGAACTTGAATCTCAGCCCAGATTTAATTAAACATACTACTGCCACAGTGCACAAAAGTTACTTTGTTGGCCCAATTGATACGAAATATAAATCTGTTTAAGCTGATGTGGTACAGTGGAATTATAAAGACCTAATTACTGAGTGGGTGCTGTTCTAGTGAAGTCAATGAGGATGCACCCATTTAGACCCAGGGTGAGTTTGGTCCTACAAATCTTTTTTGTGAACTACAACAGGTCTCATGCAAGATAACCAACAAAGATGTGGGTTGAAATAACATCTTGTGTGTAGATGTAGTATTGCTTTAAATATAGTGTGAATTTCAATACATTACTTAAATATCTAAATTATGTCATAACCTGCTTATAAACAGGTTGTCTAGCTAGGTTTCCACTCAGATGTCTTATGAGCCATACCTAGCCATGGTTTATCCTCTATTCATGCTGCAGGGTACGAAATTCCTGGGTGCCAACCTGCCTATGGCAACCTAGAATTCTCCAGGGCAGGCTCGCAAAATCTTCACCTACCCTCTGGGACAGGTAATTAAAAAGTGATGTTTTGTTAAGTTATGCTTTCTTTCTAACTTTCTCATGTCAGTAACTTGTTTCTTTTCTTCACATCAGTCTTTAGTTGCTCACACCCCAACTATACAATATTTCTGAATCAGGGAAGTAGCAGCAAATCTATTTGATAGTATTCTAGGTTATTGTCTCATGGCAGCTTGTAGTAATTATTCCCAGTATGTATAAAAGCTGCAGTATTTTCAGATTCCTACTATTAGTTAATAGCTTTTCTGTTCGTATGGTTATGAAAATACATACACATTTCATCCATTATTGATGCAACAGTAATTTGACTAGGTTACATTTCTTAATTGCTAACGTTTATATATTTCTAGATCTCTTTTGTTCTTTTTTTCCTTGGGCTCCATGAGTCAGGTTCTCTCAAAGCAATAAGTGCATAGATGATGAAAGGATATGCTGGAGACAGGCTTACATGGAGCAGTCATGATTAATTTTAGCTTGATGTTCCTATATAGCACATAGTATAAAGTAAACTAAACTAATGACTTTTTCCATTTTTTTCCACATACTTGTCTTTCATTTTCTCCTACTATCTCCATGGATTTCTCCTTTGTTCCTTTTGCTGGTATCCACCCAACATCATTAAAAGTTGCAGGTACCTAGAGGTGAAACTGTTCACTCATCCTATAAAATTTTCACTGGGACAAATATTGAAAGTGGAAAATTCATAAGACAACAAAATAATGGTAGGTTTGCCCTTAGGGTGTCTTGTTGCAATATGCAGATTTTCCTAAAAGAAATGTTGTGGTTTCCCACCCTTACAGAGATCTTAGTGCAAGAAAGAATATATATAGGATTCTTCAGATACTTCTTGGTACACTGTATATTATAGGGTGTACTGAAGAGGGGGGAATAGCCATTCGACATTTGGAGAGAAGTAGACTTCCATGAGTGGCGAACATGTCATATATTGGGGAAGCGGTTTACATTACAGTAGATACCAATCCTTAAGTTCACTGCAAATGACTTCTATTTTTACCATGGTCCAGATATGAGAATAACTTTGCTTCATGGCATCTCTGCTTCCTGTCCTGGCTGAAACCAGGAAGCGACAAATGAAACAAAAATTAAGCAGCATATTTCCACCCTTATAAAAAGTGTTTGAGTTTCAATTTGGTTTGATGTTTGGGAATTCACTTAGTTTCTAATAAAAATGAGCTTGCACTTAGGGAAAAAAATATCACAGCTGGATTTCAAACACTCCCAAGTTTTAGGGTATTTGGATCCTGGATTTTGGATCAGGCCATTTCTAGTTCCTACAAAAATATTTGGCAACTTTTAAATGGAGCAGAGTAAGCCTAAAAGATGGTGCTAATATTATTGCATGAGCGTCTGAAAGAACTGCAAAATGAACCAACCATGCAAAAATAATTTTGTGATGATAAAATCTAAAAATAATTATGAGTTTCAAGGTAAATACTCCCAAACCACATGCAAACTATTCAAAACTCTTAGTTCTTCAAAGCATATCTGGAAATCTCACCAGAATTGGCTTTCTGGTTGTATTTTAGGAGTTCTGCTTCTGGTTGGGACTAGCAAGTGCATAGGTGTGTGAAAATGAAAGATACTAGCTATAAAAGTTGTCAGTAAAATGTGGGCAGATTGAATTTTATCAAACCTGGTTCACCCATGATTTAAAAAAAAAAAAAAAAACACTCCAGTCACTTCATAAAGAAAAGTCTCTTTCTCACTTCAGAGAGCACAAAAGTGGCCCCTGTACTAGGTACAGTACTGTAGGCTGCATTTAAGTAGTAAGTATCTCTTGGCAAAAGGCAAATTCAGGCCATCTCAGTCAGTCTCTAATAAAAACCTGCTAAAAAATTAAGCCACTTTAATCAGTAAATGAGTTCTTGCAGCCACTGCCTGGGCAGGGCTGATGGAGACAGAATCCCTGTGCAGGAGCTTGCTGTACAGTGCTTTTCACACCTGCTGATGAACAGTGCTGCATGTGCTCACCAGCTGTTAGCCCTTCTGATGCTGTACAACAATCCCCTGCTTGCTAACCTGGCTCTCTCCACTGCTAAGGGAGAGCTATTGACTAGTCCCTGTATAGGGGTTTTGGGGGCAGGGGAGGAGGTTTCCTACTCCTCCTTCTCCCCAGTGTATCCACATAGGAGAAGACAGAATTTAGCCCTGTGCTGAAAAGCCAGTTGAGCTGAGTGTGTAGAATAAAACCACCCACTGCTCAACTAATAAGTCATGACACTGGAACTGGGAGAACAGTTGTTTGAACTGATTTCACAACATGCTGAGCAATGGCAGACTTGCTAGAGGTGTACTCATTTAGATTCTTGCAGAATAGGAAACTTGTCAGTTTGCAAGTCCTAAAATAGTGCAGCGCAGCATCTAAAACAAAGAGGTGAGGATCAAAATAATGAACTCACGATGACAGCACATATCTGATTTGCCATAATAGCCAGTTGATCACCCAGCTGAAAATCACTTGAAAATGTCAGCAAACTGAGGATATTTTTAAATACTCAGCTACACAGATTTCATTCAGGAAACATTAGGGGCCATTTCTGCCCCCAGGTAAGCTCTCAATACTCCATAAGTATTGTACACATGTAACTGAGAGCAGCATTAGTTCCCAAGGAATCTGAATTACATTTACAGGACATAGATTATTCAGGCTAAATGATGTTCTTTAACTCACCCCATCAAGCGTTGGTGTTCCTGGTGTCTACGCACTGGAGATATATTGTGTTGCCAAAAACCTTGCACAAAAATCCCTATTATTCATCCTCTTTCTCACAGCATGCTGCTCTGACTATAGAATCCAGCCATTGTGTGATAGAGAGCATAGAGTGACAAAGAACCGTCCTATAGCAGCTGCCAGTAGAATTTCAGCAGTTACCAACAGTTACCACCCAAGGTATCTGAAATGCCACCGCTGTTTCCCATTCTAGGCAACAGCTGTATTGTCTCTGATCCCAGTTGGCAGATGTTTACTTTCTAAAGATTGACCCCTGTATATTCACATTTTGGGTACAACACAAATTGCTTGTGTGACTTTTGCCATGAAAGGTGACCAGAGTGCAAGTGTGAATAATAAAAAGGACAACCAGTTAATGAAACTTATTAATATATAGATACACTCTACATACAGAGTATGGGGAGGGGAAAACATTGCTCTTTCTAATTCCTCCTTCCAGAACCAACCTAAGATGTCTTCTCCCAGAGCCAGAAGAATATATACATAGCTACAAACCCTCTGTAAATGCCTGGCATGAAACAAAATTTGATATCTTCCATTGTTGTATGCAGTGTTGTTGTAGCTGTGTTGGTCCCTAGAGAGACCAGTTGGCTACTAGAGAGACAAGGTGGGTCAGGTAATATCTTAGGCCTGGTCTACACTAGGAGGTTATGTCGAATTTAGCAGCGTTAAATCGAATTAACCCTGCACCCGTCCACACAACGAAGCTATTTAGTTCGACATAGAGGTCTCTTTAATTCAATTTCTGTACTCCTCCCCGACGAGGGGAGTAGCGCTAAATTCGACATGGCCATGTTGAATTAGGGTAGGTGTGGATGGAATTCGACGCTAATAGCTCCGGGAGCTATCCCACAGTGCACCACTCTGTTGACGCTCTGGACAGCAGTCCGAGCTCGGATGCTCTGACCAGCCACACAGGAAAAGCCCCGGGAAAATTTGAATTCCTTTTCCTGTCTGGCCAGTTTGAATCTCATTTCCTGTTTGGACATCGTGGCGAGCTCAGCAGCACTGGCAACGATGCAGAGCTCTCCAGCAGAGGTGACCATGCAATCTCAGAATAGAAAGAGGGCCCCAGCATGGACTGATCGGAAAGTCTTGGATCTGATCGCTGTGTGGGGCGACGAGTCCGTGCTTTCGGAGCTGTGCTCCAAGAAACAGAATGCAAAGATCTACGAGAAGATCTCAAAAGCCATGACGGAGAGAGGATACAGCCGGGATGCAACGCAGTGCCGCGTGAAAATCAAGGACCTGAGACAAGGCTACCAGAAGACCAAAGCGGCAAACGGACACTCCGGATCCCATCCCCAGACATGCCGTTTCTACGAGACACTGCATTCAATTCTAGGTGCGGCCGCCACCATTACCCCACCACTGACCATGGACTCAGAGGATGGGATATTGTCGACGGCCGCTTCCTCGGAGATGTTAGCGGACGGGGAAGATGAGGAAGAAGATGAGGAGGACGAGGCAGTCGACAGCGCTTACAACGCTGATTTCCCCGACAGCCAGGATCTCTTCATCACCCTCACGGAGATCCCCTACCAACCCTCTCCAGGCGTTAACCCGGATCCTGAATCAGGGGAAGGATCAGTCGGTAAGTGTTTTAAACATGTAAACATTTATTTTGAACAGAACAGGAATATTAAAAATGGGTTTTTCATGATTAGTTTGCCCTAGGCGCTTAACGTTTAAGTCCTTGGCAGTGCAACTACTGCAAAAGAATCTAACAATGTCCAGTTTATCATGATTAGTTTGCCCTAGGCGCTCTACTTTTTAGTCCTTGCCAATGCAGCTACTGGAAAATAAGGTCTATATGTCCGGGGATAGAGCTGAAATCCTCCTGGGACATCTCCACGAAGCTCTCCTGGAGGTAATTGGAAAGCCTTTGCATGAGGTTCCTGGGGAGAGCGGCCTTATTGCGTCCTCCGTGGTAGGAAACTTTTCCGCGCCAGGCTATCATCAAGTACTCTGGGATCATTGCCTCGCAGAGCATGGCGGCATACGGCCCTGGTTTTTGCTGGCTTTCACGCAGCATGCTGTCCTTCTCTGTGTCAGAAATCCTCATCAGAGTGATGTTGCTCATGGTGACCTGCTTTGAATTAGGGGAATGTTAGTATTGGGACTGCTTGCCTGTTCCTTTACATAACTGTAACCGGCAGTTTACAGCCACGCGGTGGAGGCGGGAGAGGGGATGGCATACAGGGATCTTTCCCGGGGACAGCCGCGAGGGGGTGGGACA